ACACAAAATATAACTGAAACAATATAAACTGAAGAAAACAAATTCAAGAATTGTACCTGGTTCTCCAGGATCACCAGATGGTCCAGTTAAATTTAAAAGCAACTTGTGTCCTTTAGGACCTCTGGGGCCTGGTTCTCCTTCTGTGCCAGGTGATCCTTGAAGACCTTTTGCTCCATCTGGACCTGGGTCCCCTGAAAACATCACAAGGCTTTTATCTGAATTCCAGTTGTGAACCTTACAGCTATGTCAAATCACTCTACAGAAAGACAAACATATTTAGCCCTGAGGTAAACTTTTGTAACTCTTCTAACTAACACATTTGAATAACTAATAAGTAGAATTAAATATGGTAGTTGGTGCATTACCTATTGGACCAGGTTCCCCTATATTACCAGGTGTTCCCTCTGGACCATGCCTCGATATCCCATCAGGTCCAGAGTCTCCTCTTGGTCCTTAAAAATTGAGTGCAAAAAGTGAAGACTGGCTTTACCATTTAAACTATTCCAGTCGAAGTCAGAGGATATTTATATATAGTAACTTATCTCTATTTTACATGATTCTTAGAAGAAGAAAAAAACTCAAGACATTCAAGCTATTATCTAATGCATAACAATTCCATGCATCAGGGGTAGCATTACAGACTTACAAGTCATTCATTCATACTCATCTGCTCACACAGACTCATGTTCGTGCTGCTGTTCAGCGTATTGTTTTTATGCTTCTAGTGCTTAGTGTGTTTTTAGTTAACATTCTTCTTAGTTCATATTTTACTACTGTTGTGTTACTGATCTTATAGCTTTTTTTAAACACATATTTTAACACTTTTGTTGGATGTAACTGGGACCCTGTGTACACAGTTTCGTTCCACCACATGTACCACATGTGGTGCGAATGACAAATAAAGAACCTTGAATCCTTGAATATGACTTAGTTTGTCCCCAGCAAAACCATCAGGTGATTTTCAGTGCAGTAAAAAAAAAAAAAACCTTCCATCAAACTAGAGATATGTTAAATTAGAAACTACGGGACTGTTTGAGCATGGCGAAAAGTGAAAATGCACTGTATGACCTTGCCTTTAAAATCACCCAATATTAAGCCTATTGGGATGGGTTGAGATTATTAAACATGCTCGGGGAAAGAACATAAACAAATTAAACAAATGATAATATTTGTCTTGTAATGGACTCTTGACTATGAGAAAATGTATTGCAGGACATTATTACATACAACTGGTTAGAAGGTGATACAACTCTTCACTGAAACAAAAGTTACTTACATATAACTAATAATAAACATGGCATGATGCATTTATACGGTTCTTGTATGCTTCAATATACACCTAATTTCAAAGTTCTAAAGTTTTTAGTCTTAATGAAGATTATAGAAAACAAGTGCAATTTAGAATCTACAATTTGTTGTGCACAAACGCAGTCCATGTAGTTGTAATACTAGAAATACAACTTTTTTAATCCTTTTTTTTTATCATACCTGGCTGACCAGGCCAGCCATTTTGACCTTTCACTCCTTTTGACCCAGGAGGTCCAGGTGAACCTGGCACTGATAACCCTGGGAGACCACGCTCTCCATAAGGACCAGGATGGCCGAACCCAGGTAAACCTACATGTCCCTTTTCACCAGGTAAGCCATTAAATCCTAAGAAAGAAGAGGAAGAAGGAGGGGGGTAAGGTAGGAAGTAGAGGGAAATTTAAGTAAACACGGATTCACATTTATCTGTCATTTTCTGTGATATCATTTTAAAGCTGTCATTAAAGTAATTACACAACTTTAATATCTGACCTGGCTGTCCTGTATAACCATCTGGTCCTGGTGGTCCCTCTGGTCCAGCCAAACTTTGACATATCTCTTTGCTACCGGGCAGCCCTGGAGGGCCAACTGAACCTTTTATCCCTATATGACATAAAATAATGTGGAAAACAAATAAACTATTTTGAAAAATACAAGTGAGTAGATCATCAAAACATGATGTGATTTAGCATTTTAATATTTCAGTCTGAGGCTGTACCTTTTTCACCTGAAGGTCCAGACATCCCTGATGGTCCTTGTTTCCCAGGAAAGCCAGGGATTCCAGGATCACCTGTGGGTCCTGGAGCTCCATCTTCACCTGGAGGCCCTGGGGGACCTGGGAGACCAGGGTATCCAGCACCACTATCCCCCTAAAACACATATGTTGCTACTATAGATGTGCTTGTCAATAGAAAATTCATATAGGAAACTTTTACATAAAAAAAACAATCAAACTTTCTAATTGTTCTCTTGTATTATGGTGAAACATCATTTTTCTAATTTACAATATGTACTGATTTTGAGGTGAAAATACCACCCTTGTTTAATTAGGCTAATATAATAGAGACTAGAAGTTGGTGAAACCTGTCTAAGTTTGCCCCATTCTAGAATGTTTGTAAGATGAACAAAAGCTGCACACTATGTTTGCATTCCAAAAAAGTTCAATCTGGTCCTCTGGACATTCAAAAAAAAAAAAAACAAAAAAAAAAAACAAAGCAAAAAAATATAGAAATGCTTCGTCTCTCATCCAAGAGACTTCCTCAGGAAGTCCTTTTTTTTGAATGTCCAGAGGACCAGATTGAACTTTTTTGGATTTTTCTACCTGGATTATTGAGCATGCATCAGGATATGTTTGCATTGTTTATTCACGTCTGGACTTTATCAACTTGTAGGTTTTAAAAAAAAATCTGTTAAATAAAACCTAACTAACAAAAAAAAGCACATTTATTTTCAATGCATCTCTGTTTACATCCTCAGAACAATAAAAATTGTACAACGTGGACACATTAACACACCCATTCATATCCAACATTTTTCAGTCAGGTCATCTGAGCAGTTTCTTTTTTTGTGTGTTGAAACGTTTTGCCTTCAATCCAGAAGGCTTCATCAGTCAAGGAAACACACAACAAAACTGATTATTCCCCCAACAGCTTACTCCAAAGTGGAACAAACCAGTTCTGCTTGTGATAAGATGGTCTCTTTGGTACACCCCTCCTCCATTGCCGGCCCTCTTCTTTGTTGACAGTCTTGTCAAACTGGTTAAAAACAACAAAGTCCATGCTCAATAATCCAGGGCCGGCAATGGAGGAGGGGCGCACCAAAGAGACCATCTTATCACAAGCAGAACTGGTTTGTTCCACTTTGGAGTAAGCTGTTGGGGGAAGAATCAGTTTTGTTGTGTGTTTCCTTGACTGATGAAGCCTTCTGGATCGAAGGCAAAACGTTTCAGCACAAAAAAAGAAACTGTCCAGATGACCTGACTGAAAAATTTTTTGGATTTTATACCTGGATTATTGAGCATTGACTTTGTTGTTTACACCATTTCATACTTACAACAAGGAACAGAGTCTGTTCAGACAATAAAAATAGCCTTTTTAAAATTCCTTAAGTCTGTTGAACAGACTTAAGGAACTTTAAAAAGGCTATTTTTTTCTGTGGAGTTTTTCATTTTGCCCATGATCAGAAAGGTCCAAAGGGCATTTTTAGTTATTTTTTTTAGGTTAATGATCTAGACAGCTAATTTTACTTTTCAAAACTGTGGTGCCATTCTTTGTGTTTCTTAGTTAGCTATTTCTTTCTGAAACATTTTCCTCTGTCTTTTCAAAGACAGGGACATCCACCATTTGTTTTTCAGTCACATCAAGCCTAAGTCTGTCAGCAACACATAAGTTACTACTGTTACAAATAAAAATGACTCTTTGCATTCTGTAATTTATCTTTGTGCTTCTAACCTTCTCTCCTGGAGGACCTGGAGGGCCATCTGGACCAGAATGCCCAGGTAAGCCCCTGCCTGGAGTGCCTGGAAGACCTAACTGTCCCTTATCACCTAACATAAACCACAAACATGATATATTAATGTGTTGTCCCATAATTTAACTGTTTTTACAATAAAAGTAAAGTGCATTACCTTTATAACCTCTGAGCCCAGGACTTCCAGAAGTTAACACTTCACCTCTTTCTCCTTTTTGTCCTTCAACACCTGGTATTCCTGGGGTACCTGGTGTCCCCTGATACCCTAGATCATGGTTGATAAGGATAAAAATACACTTTATTTGCTGTAAATAGTTAGGGACAAAAAGGTAAACAAAAACTAAGCATTCATCCAGCCAGTCAGTCAACCACGTTTACCTGGATTTCCTGGTAATCCAGGAAGACCTTTAAATCCAGGTGGTCCTGGTGGTCCTTGGATGTGAAAATGACTAGGTTCTCCCTTTTGTCCTACAAATTGAGCAGGGGTATAGAAATAATCATTGATTCATATTTTGTATTTCCTTGCATGTTTCCTTTGACATTTTGGAAAAGAGTGTTTTCAACCTGGAATTCCAGGCTGTCCTGGCAAGCCAGGCACACCAGTGTCTCCCTGAATTCCTGGAGATCCAGGAGGACCAGAACCCACTGGTCCAGGGTTGCCAACTTCTCCTTGTTTACCTAACGACCCTGGTAGACCTGGAAATCCACGGTCTCCTTCATCACCAGGAAGAAGGAACTAGAAAAGCATTGCTTACATTTGAGAAAAATGCAACAAACATGACCTTCATGATGTAAAAATCGTAAATTCGAATTTTGTCAAACTCCTCACCGAATCTCCAGGAAGTCCTTGATCACCTTTGCGACCTGGATTTCCAGGAGACCCAGGAAAGCCATCAGAACCAGGTCTTCCAATAGGCCCTGGATCTCCTTTTTGTCCTTTTAAACCAGGCAAGTTATTAGAATATGCGTCACCCTGTGGTCCTGGAGGGCCTGGTAAGCCTTTTGAACCATCAAGACCCTTTGGAATAAAACATTTTAGTTCGAATCATTTAATAATGATAAAAATAATAAAACAAAGTAAGGAAATCTTGTTTTTTTATTAAAAAAAAAAAAAAAGCTCTTTCTTACTGGTAGTCCAGGTGAACCTGGAGTTCCTGGAACACCTGGATCACCTCTTTCACCCGATTCTGCATTAGTACCTGAGTGACAGTAGAAGCACATCTATGTTTCTGTTTCAAATATTTTAATATACTTAAAAGTTAATTGAAATAGTAAAGTCTGTTTTCATGCATGCTGTGAATCTTTGTACCAGTAAGGCCAGGTGGGCCACGGTGACCTGGTGGCCCTGGGGGTCCCAATCCACTGCACTCACAAGGCTCTCCTTTCTCTCCTTATAATACAATAATACAATGCAGGGAAAAAAAAGAATTATGGGCCATGGTTTTATTTAATAGTGTAATATGCTCATGTAAATATCATTGATCTGTGCAAATAAGTTTTCAGAAGTTGCACATTTTGTGACAATCTGTCAGACACCAAAGGAAACTCACCTTTCTTTCCAGTGTTCCCATCATATCCTATAGGTCCAGACAAACCTTTTACTCCTTTCATTCCCGGGAGGCCCTTAGTAACTCTGTTAGCTAAAAAGCAACCCCAACACAAAATTAATTAGATTACTGATTAAACGTTTCCAGAATCTTAAAACACAACACATTTGTCAATTTGTCAATAATTTGTCAATTATTTTATTCTCCTTTTATTTCTCTTTCACTTACTTCTGTCTTCAGGTGGTCCAGGTGGACCCTGGTCCCCTGGAGCTCCCTGATCACCAGGATCTCCATCTGGACCTGGAGGTCTAGAGAAAACATCTCCAGGATCCCCAGGGTCTCCCTTGGGTCCAGGAAAGCCTGGAGGACCACGAGGGCCTGGCTCATAAAACCCAAAAGTATCACCTGTGAACAGCAAAGTCAGATAAAATGACTAACGTGTTGTGAAAACAACATTTGTTTCTCTAAATGCAGATTTTTGTACATTTCAAAACAAGTTTTGGTGATGGGTAAGTAGACAGATTATTAAAGTGAAAATATTTGTTTTTGTTGTTCACCTGGAAGGCCAGGAGGTCCAGGAAAACCAGCAACACCTGAGAAAACATTGGGGTTATTTCTATAAATGCACATGCACTGCAGTGAACCAATGTTACTCTACGGCGTTCTAAGTACCTATTCAGGAAAAAGGTTTATAATATATGTCATGAGTGACACTGACTTTAAGAGTTAATCATCTTCTTTAGTGTATATGTTCTGTTATAGAGAACTATATTCACATACCTGGATACCCAGGGAGCCCAGGAGATCCTGGAAAACCAGGATCACCAGTTTGTCCTTTGAGTGACTCAGGTGCAAAAATCTGAAAGATACACAAGATGACATGCTTCAAACATTTAGTTTATTTTTATAAACAATGAGTTATTCTCATACATTTGTAAATTAAATCTGCTTGGTGTTTAAAATGATACTACCTTGAATTGCTTTTACGGTGCAATAGTACAGCACTATTGTAGAAATAGGTCATGTTGAGATATGTCATAATGTTATCAATAAAAACGTTGCTCAGTGATCTCCCCCCCCCCCCCCCCCCCACACACACACGCATACACACTTAACATTTTGTCAGGCAAAAAATGTGATTTTTTTTAATCAACTTTTGTCTTATTTTTTTTTTGTCCATAAGTGCTTTATAAATAAAGTTTACTTACTTACTTACGAAGAGAAACAAATGATTTTTGATTTTATTCATTTTCATCCTCTATCAACAAGCAGTCTTAGTAGCCGAGTGGTATATATACTTTGTATATATACACATATATATACATATATATGTATATTATATATATATCTCTACCTATATACATCAATATATATATATAACCATAACGACGCTCTTCCGATTATATGTACAGCACTTTGTGGCAGCTGTGGTTGTTTTAAAGGGCTTTATAAATAAAGTATTATTATTATTATTATATGTGTGTGTGTGTGTGTGTGTGTGTGTGCGTGCGCGTGTCCAAAGATTCAGTCAAAATTTCATGGTTAGTACAGAACAAATTCAGCTCTAGTAAAAGTTGTAAAGACAACTGAGGACATTACAATATATTTTTAAGAAATTACAAAATAGAAAGCATATTTTCCTCAAATGATGTCTGTTTACATGTATGTAAATATACATACACGCATGTACAGATGGATGAAAGGTATTTACCATTTCCCTCTTCACTCAAAGGACATGCACTGATACCACTCAGACTTGAATGTTTGGAAGACGATCTTCAACCAGAGACTTCACAGAAAGTCAGGTTTATGACAAAAGTTGTTCCAAACCTGTATCATCGTCACTTTACTCAATTAATGCAACACTCTACGCCTCACTGAACAATTTCCTATTTCTTATATTCCTTTATTTTAGGGATAAACATTTGTAGTAGTTGAAACATTTATGAACAAAAGAAAAATGCTAGATTAACATTTATTTTAAAAACCAACTGTAAAACTAAATCAATCCCCCCCCCCCCCCCACACACACACAAGCAATAAAAACAAAACTCAGAAATTTCAACTTAACAAAATAAAATAAAATAAAAATGCATAAAACTTACATCTCCTGGTGGACCAGAAGGTCCTCTGTTTCCTTTCTCGCCCTAAAAATAAATAACAGGCAGAGGTCAGTCAGAATATTTGTTATACCAGCAGACAGACAGACAGACAGACACAGACAGACTGACCATTCCTCCTGGTATTCCTGGATACCCCGGATCACCTCGGCGGCCTGGCCTTCCCTGAACAGAACTGTACATTTTAAAACTTTTGCATAAATCAGTTAGCTAATTTCCCACACAGGTTGTAACAGATTACCCGTAATCCAGCTAAACCAGCTTCACCATCCTTCCCTGTCTTTCCCTGTAGAAAGCAAACAAACAAAAATAATTTATGATAGTACAGTTATTTAGCAATATTTTCACTTTACTAGTCCACTTAAGCATTTTATTTTATAATTTCATTGTACTTCATTTTTAAGAATTTATTTATTTTTTTGACAGAAGACAACATTGTGTCCATATTCTGTACCTAATGATCACCACTTAAAGGCAGCGGCTCCCTGTGACACTTCACAATAAATAGAATAAAAAAAATAAACTGATGGCTTAATGAAGATCTATTTTTTTCTTAGGATGTATGTACACATTTACAATTTATTTTAAGTTGTTCTGACAAGTCCTTTAACACAAACTCAACATTGAATTTGGGATATTAGCTGCAGTGACACTGTTTTAATAACATTTAAAATAATTCAACAAATACTATCTATCTATCTATCTATCTATCTATCTATCTATCTATCTATCTATCTATCTATCTGTCTGTCTGTCTGTCTGTCTGTCTGTCTGTCTGTCTGTCTGTCTGTCTGTCTGTCTGTCTGTCTGTCTGTCTGTCTGTCTGTCTGTCTGTCTGTCTGTCTGTCTGTCTGTCTGTCTGTCTGTCTGTCTGTCTGTCTGTCTGTCTGTCTGTCTGTCTGTCTGTCTGTCTGTCTGTCT